GAGTCCAGGGGTGCTTCACCACAGAGCCCCGTCCCCAGCCCTTTCCATTTTTAGACAGATCTAAGTGGCTGAGGCTGGCCTCCACCTTGCGATCCTCCTGCCTCAGCCTCCCCAGCCGCTGGGATGACAGGCGTGGGCCACTGCGCCCCCAATTTCCAACACCTATATTTGTCTTAGTTTCCAAAAGCCACACGAAGGCCAGACGATGACGTCAGCTTCTCCCGGCGTCCCAGGGGGCCCTCCATACCTTAAAGGAGCGGATGGAGGATATGCCGCTGTCGGGCTGCCGCTGGTAGTCGTAGCGGGAGAAGGGCCCCTTGAGCACGGCGCCCGTGTGCTTGAGGTCCACGTTCTCCTCCACGGCGATGTTCCCCCAGTGGGAGACCTCGATGACCCGGGTCATGCTGGTGATGGTCAGGAACGGGTTGTTGTTCTCGTAGTGGACTTTGAAGGGATCCTGGGCGGGAAGGGAACCAGCAGTCAAGGCTCTGGGAACACCAACACCCAGACAGCACAGACGACTGGGGACCTTCTGGAACGCTCCACCACTGAGCACTGTGGCCCTGCCCCTTGAAGACAGGGTCTCACTCGCTAAGTTGCTGAGGGTCTCACTAAATTCCCGAGGCTGGCCTCCAACTTGAGATCCTCCTGCCTCAGCCTCCCAAATTGCTGGGATGACAGGCGCGCGCCACAGCATTTAGTGAATTATGACGTAGGTGATGGATGCGACATTTTAAAATGTTTACTGGGACATCTTGTTAGAAATAAATGTTCACAGTATTGTTACTAATTGGAAAAATGATAGCCTGAATCACTTAAGTTCCAATGTAAATATCATTTGACTTTTGGTCCCAGGGATTGAACCCAGGGGTGCTGAACCCCTGAGCCCCGTCCCCAGCCCTTTTTAGATTTTATTTAGAGACAGGGTCTCGCTGAGTGGCTCAGGGCCTCACTAAGTTGCTGAGGCTGGCCTCCACCTTGCGATCCTCCTGCCTCAGCCTCCCAAGCCACTGGAATGACAATCATGTGCCACCACATGCAACCAAAGGAATTGTTCATATTTAAACATCCTCGCTTTTTTAGAAATGATGTGGAAGTAAAATGACCTGCAATTACTCCAAACGATGCCACAGATGACCCCCGATGTGTGCTCTAAGATATTCCAGCAAAGAAGTCTTTTCGCACATTTACAATTTTTCTAAATAACAAGAGCTTCTTCAGCCTGACCTGCTTCCTCTTGTCAGAGTCCCTGCCCCAAGGCCTCAGCCACCCTATGAAATTCCTGTGGCCTCTGTCCCAGTCCTCCTACCCAGAATGCCTCGCTTCCTTGGGCAGCCCCCATTTCCACTCTCCAATGCCACCCCCAGCCTCCATTGTGCTGTCAAAAGGACACACGGACTCTGACAGGTCACTTCACAGGAAGTGGAAAACTCTGGGGAAGGTCTAAACAGTCATTTCAGATTTCCACCCACCCCCCACGAACAGTCCCTGTGGGAGGGGTGTGCTTCCCTGAGCCCTGGGTTCCTGGGACTGGGCTCAGTGTAGAGACACTGGGTTCGAGTCTCAGCACCGCATATAAATAAATGATTAATAAACTTCCACCGACAAGTAAAAAAAAATTTAAAAAAAGCACAAATGAAGAGCTGGGAATGGTGGCGCACGCCTGGAATCCGAACAGCTCTGGAGGCTGAGGCAGGAGGATCTCAAGGTGGAGGCCAGCCTCAAAAACTTAGCGAGGCCCTGAGCCACTCAGCGAGACCCTGTCTCTAAAGGAGGCCTGAGGAGGGCAGGGCAGGGCTGGGCGACCCACCTGACTGTAGGCAGGAATGTTCTGGAAAGGCCCATAGTCCAACACGTCCTCCGAGCGCGTGGGGTTGCCCAGCTTGGTGTAGCTCTCCACGTTGCGCGAGGCCAGCTTGACGCGCGTGGTCTGGGTCTTGGTGGGGTAGGGGGAGTAGAAATAATGGTTGCCCTCGAACACCACCAGCTGCTTCTCCGACTGCGTGATCTGCGTCGGGTAGGGCTGAAGCACGTGGGTGTACACGGTCTCCACCACGAGGGACATCTTGGCCCCGGGGTCAAGGGCGACGGGGAGCTTGACCAGGAAGAATCTCCCGCTGGAAGGAAAAAGAAGCCAAAAGATGAGGGTCAGCTGGCAGGTGGCCACGCCCAGCAGCTCAGGAGGCTGAGGCAGGAGGATCGAAAGGTGGAGGCCAGCCTCTGCAAAAGTGCAAAAGCCCTCAGCAGCTCAGGGAGACCCTGTCTCTAAAGAAAATTGAAAAAGGGACTGGGGACGGAGCTCAGGGACTAAGCACCCCTAGGTTCCATCCCCAGGAACCTCCCCAAAAAGAAATGGACCTCAAACATTGCGAGCTTACCTTCTGCCCTTAATTTTGGTTTCCCGGACTTCTAGATTGTTCTCTTCCTCCTCTTCTCCCTTTACCTAGAACAGGAAAAAAACATAGCACTTTCCAAAAGCTCCAACGTTTCCTTCCTGCATTCAAATATGCAGAGGCACAGAAAATAAACAGCATTTTAATGAGGTAATAGATACCACCCAGGGGCGCTTAGCCCCTGAGCCCCATCCCCAGCCCTTTTTCTATTTTATTTAGAGACAGGGTCTCGCTGAGTTGCTCAGGGCCTCGCTAAGTGGCTGAGGCTGGCCTCCACCTTGTGATCCTCCTGCCTCAGCCTCCCGAGCTGTTGGGATGACAGGTGGGCACCATCATGCCGAGC